TTTGTTTACTACTCTTGAATGAATGAAAGGCTTTGCCTACTACTACTACTGCGATTGTTGTGATGGTCACCCAAGGTAAGTCTTGTGGTAAGTCCAAAGTAAGGAAAGGTAACATGTGGTTATCATTTAAGGGCCTATTCACACTGCCTCTAAGCTAAAACAATGTCTTTTAGCACGTGGACTGCTTTAATTTTGCCCTGCAGTTTAAGTGGAACAATGCACTGTTCAAAGTACTGTTTCCTTTTTTTTGTACTTTATTGGAAGTTTGCAAAGGGTACATTTTTTTTAGGTCTTTGCACAGCAGTGCTGTGGTGCAAAAACTACCAGTGCCATCCAGTGCAATGCAGCATGTCTTTCCCACAGAGTACCACACCAGCATTGTGAAAGGATTTAGATGGAGATGGATTATTTACATGCAAATAAAAAATACTTGTTGTGTTTGGAAAAATAAGAGATCATTGGCATAAACCACTGTTCAAGGCTTTATTCACACATACGGCACCCAGTTGCAGAACAGTGGGGCACCATTTACAGGGTTCATCAAGAAGTAAGGAAGTGACATAATGCTTCCTCACTGCTTGTCAAATACCCTCTGAAGATAGATCTAACACAGACCACTCTTCAGAAGGCACTGCAAGTGGGTTGGTGTAAATGGCTTCAAGCCATTCGCGTATATTGGTCTCCAGACCTATATGCTTGATTGTATTTTTGAGAAAATGCCAGTCTACTTAGTCAAGGACCCTTTTTCCACATTGGCCAGAAGTAGCAGGAAGTACCCTGACTGTATTATCTTTAGTGTCTTGGTTGGGCATAAAGCCCACTTGGTCTCCATGTATGTACCATTGCATGTGAGGTAAAAGTCTGTTTGCTAGGATTCTTTGAATATGTTGGGATCCATATTTAGGAGAGATAAAGGGTGGTAGTTATCAAGGAGATGTGTGCACGTAGGATGTCAACAGGTGTCTGTTTTGAAGTGAGTTATATACTCTAGTAAACTATGTTTTGAGAAAAATATATATTGTACAGTAATAAGATAAGATCAGGACATCTGGGCTTGGGGCTTTGCCTGATTTCATCTGTTTAGGGCTCTAGCCTCACTGGCTTTCATGGGAATCTGTGGCATGTGAGAGTCGACTAGCCAGTTTTTAATTATATAGTTAGTTAATCATGCATTTACACTATCCTATTCCTACAGTTTTTCCAGAGGAAGATAAAAAAAATCCCCAATAAATCATGATCCAATTTGTTTCAGCGGTTGAAAATAAATCTTCCTGATCCCCCAGGAGGTAAGTGAATATTCACTGGATCATCTATCCCTGGTGTCATTACTTATAAAAGTGTCAGATTACATTTTGTGCATTTAGGAATGCATCCAGTTCTTTAACCACTAGCCTACAGGGCACTTATAACCCCCTTCCTACCTAGGCCAATTTTCTAGCTTTCAGCGTCAGCGCTGTCACACTTTGAATAACAATTGCGCAGTCAAACAACACTGTAAACCCATATGAAATTTGTATAATTTTTTTGTGACAGAGCTTTCTTTTGGTGGTATTTAATCACCTCCTGGGTTTTTTATTTTTTCTTAAACAAACCAAAAACCACTAAAAATTTTGAAAAAATATGTTTTTTCTTAGTTTTTGTTATAAAAAGTTGTAAATAAGTGATTTTTCTCCTTCACTGATGAGACGCTAATGAGGGTGCACTGATGGGCACTGATAGGCTGCACTGATGGACACTGATAGGTGGCACTGATGGGCACTGTTGAGGAGGCACTGGTAGGTGGCACTGATGTGTATTGACAGGCATCACTGATTGGCACTGAAAGGCAGCACTGATACATGGCACTGATACATGGCACTGATAGGCAGCACTTATAGGCGGCACTGACTGGCACTGATAGGCGTTACTGACTGGCACTGATAGGCGGCACTGACTGGCACTGTTAGGCGGCATTGACTGGCACTGTTGCCACTAATAGGCAGCACTGACTGGCACTGATAGGCGGCACTGACTGGCACTGATTGGCAGCACTGATTGGCATTGATAGGTGGCACTGATGGGTGACACTGAAAGGCAGCTCAGATGGGCACTGATATGTGGCATTGATGTGCACTGGTGTGCACTGATATGTGGCACTGATGGGCACTGGCACAAGGCACTGATGGACACTGACAGGTGGCACTTCTGGGCCACACTGATCATCATGGCACACTGATCATCAGTGCCCTGATGATCAGTGTACATGTCCCCCTCCGTGGAAAGCCGATTACCGGCTCTCCTCTCCTCTCGAGCTGTCAGCGTGACAGCTTGAGAGGAGAGAAATGCCGATAACCGGCATTTCCCTGTTTACATGTATCAGCTGTGATTGGACACAGCTGATCACATGACGGAGCCGACATCTTCGACTCTTTCTGTGATCGGTGATCTCGCTGTGTCCCGAGGGACACAGTATACCGCCGATCGCCGCGCTGCGTGCTCCCTGAGCCACGCATGCGCAGTGAGAATGGGAGGACGTCATATAATGTCCTCCAAGAATGAGAGAACCACCTGCGCTTTTCATATTACTATATGGCGGGCGGGAGGTGGTTAAAACAATCTACCAAGCTTGCTAGGACTCTTCTAGGGGGGTGTCTATATCTTCCTCTGCCTGAGCCTTGTACTACATGAGCCTTCTACCCAACTGCTTTTCCAGCCGTTACTCCAGGCTTGCAAGTATTTACCAATAAAAGAACATCCAAAGGCTTCACATAGTGTGAGAACTGTATGGCTATTTAGCTGTGTATAAAATCTCAGGTTAATGAAAAAAAGTACTTCCAGGTCACTTCATGAACTTAATTATGTTACACAGTGATCACAGTAGTAAACAAGGCCTTCATGAATGAAAGGCTTTGTTTACTACTACTACTGTGATTGTTGTGATGGTCACCCAAGGTAAGTCTTGTGGTAAGTCCAAAGTAAGGAAAGGTAACTTGTGGTTATCATTTAAGGGCCTATTCACACTGCCTCTAAGCTAAAACAATCTCTTTGAATGAATGAAAGGCTTTGTTTACTACTCTTGAATGAATGAAAGGCTTTGCCTACTACTACTACTGCGATTGTTGTGATGGTCACCCAAGGTAAGTCTTGTGGTAAGTCCAAAGTAAGGAAAGGTAACATGTGGTTATCATTTAAGGGCCTATTCACACTGCCTCTAAGCTAAAACAATGTCTTTTAGCACGTGGACTGCTTTAATTTTGCCCTGCAGTTTAAGTGGAACAATGCACTGTTCAAAGTACTGTTTCCTTTTTTTTGTACTTTATTGGAAGTTTGCAAAGGGTACATTTTTTTAGGTCTTTGCACAGCAGTGCTGTGGTGCAAAAACTACCAGTGCCATCCAGTGCAATGCAGCATGTCTTTCCCACAGAGTACCACACCAGCATTGTGAAAGGATTTAGATGGAGATGGATTATTTACATGCAAATAAAAAATACTTGTTGTGTTTGGAAAAATAAGAGATCATTGGCATAAACCACTGTTCAAGGCTTTATTCACACATACGGCACCCAGTTGCAGAACAGTGGGGCACCATTTACAGGGTTCATCAAGAAGTAAGGAAGTGACATAATGCTTCCTCACTGCTTGTCAAATACCCTCTGAAGATAGATCTAACACAGACCACTCTTCAGAAGGCACTGCAAGTGGGTTGGTGTAAATGGCTTCAAGCCATTCGCGTATATTGGTCTCCAGACCTATATGCTTGATTGTATTTTTGAGAAAATGCCAGTCTACTTAGTCAAGGACCCTTTTTCCACATTGGCCAGAAGTAGCAGGAAGTACCCTGACTGTATTATCTTTAGTGTCTTGGTTGGGCATAAAGCCCACTTGGTCTCCATGTATGTACCATTGCATGTGAGGTAAAAGTCTGTTTGCTAGGATTCTTTGAATATGTTGGGATCCATATTTAGGAGAGATAAAGGGTGGTAGTTATCAAGGAGATGTGTGCACGTAGGATGTCAACAGGTGTCTGTTTTGAAGTGAGTTATATACTCTAGTAAACTATGTTTTGAGAAAAATATATATTGTACAGTAATAAGATAAGATCAGGACATCTGGGCTTGGGGCTTTGCCTGATTTCATCTGTTTAGGGCTCTAGCCTCACTGGCTTTCATGGGAATCTGTGGCATGTGAGAGTCGACTAGCCAGTTTTTAATTATATAGTTAGTTAATCATGCTGAAGAATGACATCCAGCTCAACCAATAGAAAAAAAAAAAATAGAAACCCTTAATTTACACTATCCTATTCCTACAGTTTTTCCAGAGGAAGATAAAAAAAATCCCCAATAAATCATGATCCAATTTGTTTCAGCGGTTGAAAATAAATCTTCCTGATCCCCCAGGAGGTAAGTGAATATTCACTGGATCATCTATCCCTGGTGTCATCACTTATAAAAGTGTCAGATTACATTTTGTGCATTTAGGAATGCATCCAGTTCTTTAACCACTAGCCTACAGGGCACTTATACCCCCTTCCTACCTAGGCCAATTTCTAGCTTTCAGCGCTGTCACACTTTGAATAACAATTGCGCAGTCAAACAACACTGTACCCATATGAAATTTGTATAATTTTTTTGTGACAGAGCTTTCTTTTGGTGGTATTTAATCACCTCCTGGGTTTTTTTTTTTTCTTAAAAACAAACCAAAAACCACTAAAAATTTTGAAAAAATATGTTTTTTCTTAGTTTTTGTTATAAAAAAGTTGTAAATAAGTGATTTTTCTCCTTCACTGATGAGCGCTAATGAGGGTGCACTGATGGGCACTGATAGGCTGCACTGATGGACACTGATAGGTGGCACTGATGGGCACTGTTGAGGAGGCACTGGTAGGTGGCACTGATGTGTATTGACAGGCATCACTGATTGGCACTGAAAGGCAGCACTGATACATGGCACTGATACATGGCACTGATAGGCAGCACTTATAGGCGGCACTGACTGGCACTGATAGGCGTTACTGACTGGCACTGATAGGCGGCACTGACTGGCACTGTTAGGCGGCATTGACTGGCACTGTTGCGCACTAATAGGCAGCACTGACTGGCACTGATAGGCGGCACTGACTGGCACTGATTGGCAGCACTGATTGGCATTGATAGGTGGCACTGATGGGTGACACTGAAAGGCAGCTCAGATGGGCACTGATATGTGGCATTGATGTGCACTGGTGTGCACTGATATGTGGCACTGATGGGCACTGGCACAAGGCACTGATGGACACTGACAGGTGGCACTTCTGGGGCCACACTGATCATCATGGCACACTGATCATCAGTGCCCTGATGATCAGTGTACATGTCCCCTCCGTGGAAAGCCGATTACCGGCTCTCCTCTCCTCTCGAGCTGTCAGCGTGACAGCTTGAGAGGAGAGAAATGCCGATAACCGGCATTTCCCTGTTTACATGTAATCAGCTGTGATTGGACACAGCTGATCACATGACGGAGCCGACATCTTCGACTCTTTCTGTGATCGGTGATCTGCTGTGCCCGAGGGACACAGTATACCGCCGATCGCCGCGCTGCGTGCTCCCTGAGCCACGCATGCGCAGTGAGAATGGGAGGACGTCATATAATGTCCTCCAAGAATGAGAGAACCACCTTGCGCTTTTCATATTACTATATGGCGGGCGGGAGGTGGTTAAAACAATCTACCAAGCTTGCTAGGACTCTTCTAGAGGGATTCTATCCACATTTTAACAGCTCTTACTGTGAAGAATCCTTTCCATATGTGGAGGTTAAATTTATTTTCCTCCAGATGCAAAGACTGCCCTCTTGTCCACTGTAATGTCCTGAAAGTGAATAATTAACACCAAGTTCATGTTTACATAACACCAGTTATGTATTTCTACATGGTGATCACATCCTGCCTTAATTGCCTCTTTTTAAGAAAGAATAAATTAAGTTCAGCTAATCTTTCTTTAAATCTGAGCTCCTCCAAGAGTCTTTTGAGAACTAGCGTAAAATGGTGGAACTTTAAAAGGACAGCTTCTGTCAGGGATCTCCTCAATCCCCGCCGCGATGGTCCCGGCGCAGGCGCAGTGCACCGCCCTGTGCAGGGACACGGGCACTAGGTCCGGCCCGGCCGCGGCGTTCGAGTTCGCGCATGCGCAGTAGAAGCCGGGCCGCCCGCTGGGCACCAATGGCAGCGCAGGGCGGGATATTTAAATGGCCCTGAGCTGTCATTCAGTGCCTTCTGGTCTTCCCTGCATCCTGTATCCTGTGAACCTGTACCTTGTAAGTTTTGACCCGGATTGTACCTGACCTTGCTGCTTTCTCCTATTCTGACCCTTGCTTTGCCTGACCTCTCTCCTGAATGCCCCTTATTGGATTTGACCTGCTGTTGCTGACCTGGCGTGTGACCCGACCATTCTATGCCCTGCCCTTGTACCTTGCCGTCCTCTCTGTTACCGACCCGGCCCGTCTGACCTTGCTCATCCATCCATCCCTTGCAGTGGGGTCTTCTGACCTCCTCACATCAGACTCTTCCCCGCGGGAGCCCTTGGCGCATACCAATACCACTGACGGACGCACCCAGTAGCCACGACCTGGTCTCGGGGGGCTCCAAGTCCATCCCCCATCAGGGGCCCCTGGTGAACAAGCACCCTGGGACTTAGATTCCGTACGCTGGGGACGCCTATTCAGTGGAGCGCTAGTGGTACCGCCAGGCGGTCCCTTACAGTACCAGAAGGCCATGACTGAGTCTAGAGGAGGGCCCTCGCCGCTTGAGGAGATCTGCAGGCACCTGTCTAATTTGACACAGGCCGTATCGGCCCTGCAGGATAGATGTCAGCAGATTGAAACCCAATTCAGACCTGCACTATATCCGTTCCTGCCCCACAGGCCGCGGTCCCCGCACCCCCAGCCGTAGCAGCCCCTGTGCCGGTTTCTGGGCCGAGTACCCTTACCGGAACGTTTTCACGGGGACCGCACACGCTTCAGGTCATTCCGTGAGTCCTGTCTTCTCTATTTTGAGTTACAACCCCGGACCTTCGTGACTGAATCCGTGAAGGTGGAGTTCGTCATCTCCCTCCTGCAGGGTGAACCCCAGGACTGGGCCCACCGATTATGGGGAAAAAATGACCCTCACCTTAGTTCGGTTGACAATTTTTTGACGCAATGGCCATCCTATATGATGACCCACAGCGGGCAGCTTCTGCTGAAGCTACTTTGTACACGCTCCAGCAAGGCCGCCGAGCGGCGGAGGAGTACGCGTCTGAGTTTAGGGCGCTGGATGGGGGACACACGCTGGAACGAGTTCGCACTCCTGCATCAGTTCTGTATAGGCCTATCAGAAGGCCTGAAAGATGAGCTCATCCGGGTGGAGGTGCCTGAGACTTTAGAGGACTTAATAGCACTGACCATTAAAATTGACCGTAGACTGCGGGAACGCAGGTTTGAGAGGTCCGGCCAGGGTCATGGAAATCCCTGGGGGTCATTTCAAGGTCCCAGTCAAGCACCTAGGCCAAACATCCAGAACCGGCCACCTGGAGATATCCCTGAACCCATGCAACTCGGCCTGGCACGGCCTAAACTATCTCCAGAGGAACATCAGCGCAGACGATCCCAGAACCTGTGCCTCTACTGTGGTGAAGCTGGTCATATGGTACGATCCTGCCCGCAGAAACTGTGTAAGTGCACCTCTTCTTCCTTATCCATTGGCAATGTTGGTCCATCCCAATACTTAGTGGTGCCCCTTTCCTTTCAGCTTCCAGAAAGGACCGTGGAAGTATCGGCCATAGTTGATTCGGGGCATGCAGCTGCTTCTTGGACATTAATTTTGCTCACCAGCAGGGTATTCCTCTCCAATTTAAACAGAAGGGGTTCAATATTTATTTGGCCGACGGTTCCCGAATAAAATCGGGGGTAGTGAACCAGGAAACCCCCTCCATCGCCACTGTCATTGCTGGCCAGCACCAGGAACTCCTCCGCCTGGATGCTACAGCTTCACCCCTCTTCCCAGTCATTCTGGGGCTCCCATGGTTACGGGCCCATAACCCCCAGATTGACTGGGAGACCGGAGTAATCTCGTTCCCTTCCCCATACTGTCGGGTATACTGCCGCACTTCGGGCCCGGGGGTCCCCCAAATCCTCCTGTGCTCTGGGGGGGAAGCTGAATTAAAACAAGTAATCCCTGCAGCCTGCCATGAGTTTCTAGATGTGTTCAGCAAATGGGGAGCCGATACTCTACCCCCCCACCGCCCTTATGACTGTCCCGTTGACCTGTTACCCGGTTCAGAAATTCCTTTTGGGCGAATCTTCCCCCTCTCAGAGCTCGAATTGGGGGCCCTAAAGGAATATATCGAGGACAGCCCCCAGAAGGGGTTCATCCGCCCCTCCACTTCACCGGCGGGGGCGGGAATTTTCTTTGTTGCAAAGAAAGACAAAACCTTAAGGCCGTGTATCGATTACAGGGAATTGAACAGGGTCACGATAAAGAACCGTTACCCACTGCCGTTAGTACCGGAGTTGTTCCAAAGTTTAAAAACAGCAGTGGTTTTTACAAAGCTGGATTTGAGGGGGGCGTACAACTTGATTCGCATAAGGGAGGGGGACGAGTGGAAGACGGCCTTCCGCACCCGCTTCAGCCATTTTGAATATTTGGTCATGCCGTTCGGGTTGTGTAATGCTCCGGCCACGTTTCAACACTTTGTGAATGATATTTTTAGGGACTTTCTGGATGTCTTTGTTATCGTTTATTTAGACGACATTCTGATTTTCTCCCCTTCTTTGGGGGAACACAGAATACATGTAGCAAGGGTATTGGGGCGATTGCGGCAGCATGGGTTGTACGCCAAGGCAGAGAAATGTTGTTTTGAACAATCCAGCATTGCCTTCTTGGGCCTGATTATCTCCACCGCGGGGGTCGCGATGGATCCCCAGAAAGTCGCTGCAATACTGGATTGGCCTGAACCCACGGACAGGAAAGGCGTCCAACGATTTATCGGTTTTGCAAATTTTTACCGGAAGTTCATCAAGAACTTCTCGGGTCTGGTCTCCCCCATTACTCAGCTAACCAAGCTGGGAACCCGGTTCAGATGGACACCAGAGGCGCAGGAAGCTTTTGAAGCCTTGAAGAAGCTGTTCACCTCGGCACCCATTTTGGGTCACCCAGACGCGCCGCCCTGCCCTATATCTTGGAAGTGGATGCATCGGAGAATGCGGTAGGTTCCATCCTCTCCCAGCGGAAAGGCACCAAGGAACTGCTCCATCCTGTAGCATTCTTCTCACGGAAGCTTACCCCAGCGGAGAAGAATTATGATATCGGTGATCGAGAGCTACTGGCGATCAAAACGGCGTTAGAGGAATGGAGGTACCTGCTGGAAGGTGCGGTGCACCCCATCTTAATATTTACTGACCACAAAACTTGGAATATCTGAGAACCGCCAAGCGTCTACGCCCGCGACAGGCAAGATGGGCACTATTCTTTTCAAGATTCAACTTCTACATTACGTACCGGACTGGATCAAAGAACACTAAGCCAGATGCGTTATCACGTATGTACGAGGACGCCAAGGAGATCCCAGTACCCGACACCATCCTGTCCTCAGGTAACTTCTTGGCCCTTCAGTCGGACCTTCGTTCCAAGCTAATGGAGGCATCCACAACCATCTCTACCCCAGGCGGAGGGCCGCTCCAGAACAAGGGGGGACTCCTATGGAGGGAAGATCAAATTGTGGTGCCGGAGGAAGCCCGAACCCTGGTCTTGGGGCATTGCCATGACCACCCGATGGCAGGGCACTTTGGCCCAGAAAAGACCCTGGAACTTCTCCAACGCTCCTTCTGGTGGCCGGACATGGCTAAAGATTGTAAGGGCTATGTAAGGTCCTGTATCACCTGCCAGAAGAACAAGCCAGCAAGAAACAAAGTTTGGGGTCTGCTGCGACCCTTACCGATTCCTGAACGGCCTTGGCAAAAGATCTCGTTAGACTTTATAGTCAAACTTCCACCATCACTAGACCACACGGCAATCCTGGTGGTCGTGGACCGCTTGTCCAAGATGGCCCACTTCATCCCGTTGAAGAAAACCCCCTCGGCGGCCGAGACTGCGCGAGTCTTCATTCGTGAGGTAGTAAGGCTGCATGGGGTCCCCGAAGACATTGTCTCGGACCGGGGGGTCCAGTTCACGTCAAGATTTTGGAGAGCACTGTGCAAAGCCCTGGACATCAAATTGTCTCTCTCCTCTGCGTTCCACCCTCAAACTAACGGTCAAACCGAAAGGACCAATCAGACCCTAGAGCAATACTTAAGATGCTACACTTCGTTTACTCAAGATGACTGGATGCCACTTCTACCCCTAGCGGAATTTGCGTACAACAACGCCCGCCACTCAGCGACGGGACAGTCCCCGTTCTTTGCCAACTATGGCTTTCACCCAGTCTTCCTCCCGGATTTGGTCTCGGAATGCCCAGTACCAGCAACGCAAGATATGGTA